ATAACAGGATTAGCATAATTAAAAACAAGGGGTTTAAAATGTAGAAATGGATGCTAGGGGCAGCACACGCGGACATCAATTGAATAAAAGCCCGTCTGAAGAAATGGGTTTGGAGTCTGGATTTGAAAGCAAGAGCAATTGAGCCCCAGCGCTATGAGGTGGCGATGCTGCCCCCTGTGCCACCATGTCGGCCCAATCTAAAAACAGTTCAGGACACAGTTTTACAAGGGCTGTATGAAATATGTTCACTCGAAATCTAAAACTCGGCATAGCAATTCTGGATCTCCTGGGAAAATTCTCCTCGTCTAAAACAGTCGACACTGGGACAAATTCACTGGGATGGCACTGGGACGAATTCACTCGTGGCAGTGAACTTCAGGGACAGGAGAAGCTGGGGAAACATCACCCCTATCACAGCCTCAGAGGAAGACCACCCTGTCTGAAGGGACAGAAAGGAACTAACTGCATTTCAGAACCTATGGAAGATGGGCCCAAACCCTATTCAAGGTGTATGCTTCCTGCAAACAGAAACCTGATTTGGTTTGGGGGTTCCTCATATTTTGGCCAGTGGGCGTGCATGTAAAGCATCATGGCAAAGCTACTGAAGCAGAAAGGATGTGTCAAATTCAATTCGCAGGTGCCCCTGTACTAATGTTCACGCGGAAGGAGAGGGGGGTATTTTAGGCCTAGAATATAGCTACAGGACACCCAGTAAAAATATACGCAGGTCTACAAAAAGGACAGAGACCTAGAGGAGCTAATACAAGCATAGCAGACACACCCTGCAAAGTTAAATAATCCTACACAATCAAAATCGCCTACATCACAGAGCCCATGAAGATTCCCACACCACACACACACCACATGAGGAAGAGCTCACTCTCTACAGAAAGAGCCGGAAAAGTGCAGCCAGAAAATTAACGCCCGGTTTGCGCAGCTGGGCTCTGCGGTCGTCGCGCACAAACTGCGGGCAAACCAACTACTTGAATCCGAAACGGCAAACTTCTCCCGACATGAATAACGTTTCCTTAGCACCTGAATCCGAAATCAAAGAACACAGGATAAGGCGACTGGTTCTGACCCGGATACAGGGCTGGAGGTGCAGTTCTTCACCGTGACGACAGTTCTTGGTCTCCGTAACCTCTGCCGGTGTCACAACGCTGCATGGAAGTCTGGCTCAATGCGCACAGAATATCAGGGGCTCCGTGAGCAGAGATCAAACAGAGCTCTTAACTGAAGGTCAAGAATTCCTTAAACCAGCATTCAAGGACAGGAAAAGACATGCAAGTCACATGCATGAAATACCCTGTGAATTATGTGGATTATTCTTATTTTAAAACCTGGCCGGTCTACCGGGACTGAGCTGGGGTTGCAATTGGCTAAGAACTCCAGACGGGAATGGGTGGGAGATCCCAGAAGGGAACCTGGGAACCTGGGGAGAACGTGCAAACTCCACCCAGCCCAGTGCCAGGGGGTGGAATCAAACTGGGCACTGCGGACCCGCGTGGCACAGCGGCACCGACAGCCTCTCCAATCGTGCTGCTGGGTTCTACGCGAGCTATAGAGATAGCTAATTAATTTTGTGCTGGGCAAACATGCTCTACAATATCTAAATGTATGGTAAGAAGTAAAAAAAAAAACATCTCAAAAGTTGTAAAGCAACGTTTGTCACCCTGACTCCTCTCTCGACCCTTGCCAGCTCAGGACGTGATCTTAAGAAACAGGAACCTGCAAATTAAACCTGGAGGAGAATCACTACCTTGCTCGAGACAACACACTAGCTTCTCCAGGCATAGCAGTCAAGATGAGGAACCCACACTGATGGATGCATATTAAGGGGATGAATATTTATGAGCTCTCACCATTTCACAATGCCAGGAGGCAGAATTCACACCGACCTCTTAAAAAACAAAACACTCCACTACACTCAAAGCCATTCCTTCTAAAACCTATATTCCTAAATAACAAGTCATTTTAACATGAATTCAGCATTACTACTTATATAAACAGTAGCTCAGCACAATACAAGACAATGGCATTTCTAAAAAAGTTTGGAGCAATCAGGATACATGCGATTTTTAGAATTCCCTGCTTGAATCCCATTCCGATGCACATGGAACCACTCCGACACTTGCTCGGCTGCCCCGCGACTTGACCGTCCGGGCTGGGAGGGGT